TCCCTAATTCCCCCCCCTTGACACCCCAAGACTTCCCTGGTGTCTCCAATGTCCACAGGGCATCCCCATGGCCCCAATTCCCCCCTTGACACCCCAAGACTTCCCTGGTGTCTCCAATGTCCACAGGGCATCCCCATGGCCCCAATTCCCCCCTTGACACCCCCAATTCCACTGTCCCCAAACCTTTCCCCACTGCCCCCATTGTCCCCAAACCCCATCCCTGATGTCCCCAACCCTCCATCTCACCCCAGGAGCCCCCCCTGGACCCTCTGACCCCAAAAACACCCCCCCTTTCCCCACGCTCACAGAAAGGCCAAGGGCATTTGGGGACACGTTGGAGACAGTTGGGGGGCTTTGAGGGATACTGGGTGATTACTGGGGGATACTGGGACACACTGGGGGGAACCAGGGGAAACTGGGAGGGACTAGGGGTTTCTGAGGGACAATGGGAGGGACTGGAGAGTTACTGGGAGATTACCAGGACACATGGGGAGACACTGGGAGGTTACTGGGCCATACTGGGGGGCAGTGGGAGGTCACTGAGACACAGTGGCTGGTCACTGAGGGGGTTACTGGGCTGTACTGAGGGGCACTGGGAGGTCACTGGGCTATACTGGGGGTACTGGGATCCCCTTGCCCCGATGTGGTACATCTCCCCCCTGGACTTTGGAGGACACCCCCACGACCCCTCACCTGGGGGCTGGGAGATCTCCTGAACCTCACTGCTGGGCTTTAGGGGATCCCCGGGCCCCCCTCCCTGTGGAGTCTCTGTGTGCTGAGTGTTGGGGGTGTCTGGGGTTCGGGGAGGGCATAAGGATCCCGTTTCCCTGGGGCCGGTCCGCCGGGCCGGCAGGGGCGCTGTGGTGGGACGAGTAATGGAGGGTTGCGCGGAAGCCCACGGGAGTTGTAGTTCCCTCATGAGGGCTTCGCCGGCGCGCCTCCGCAGTGCAGCCAGGGCGGTGGCAGAGGCTCCCCCTCCCGCCCCCCCGCGGGTTGCAGGCCCCGCGCTCTGACCCTCGGGAACCCCCGAACCCCTCGGCTAAACCCTCCCGAGCCCTCCAGCCTTTCCACCCACAACCGCGCTCCCCGCAGCCCCCGAGGGGATCCCCAGAACCCCGCTCTCCGAGCGCAGCCACACCTCCGCCGCCATCGCTGCCCCGCAGACAACATGGCGCTCTGCGCACGCCCCGCCTTTCGAGACCCCGCCGCAGCCAATCAGCGCTCGGCCCCTCCCCGCTCTGGCCCTTTCGGTCCCGCCCTGTCGGGTGAGCGGGACGGGCACGGCGGGAAAGCGGCGGGGGGGGAAAGAGCGGGTGGGACCCCAAAGGGAGCGCGAGGGGCGGGGGGTCACCCCCAAAGGGAGCTGGGGGAGCCGGGCTTTGAAGGGACGGTGGGAAAGGGGGGAAAAGCCAACTCTGGAAAACTCTCTCGTCTGAGATAAGTTGTGCTGCCGAAGGAAACGCTGACTCCAGAGGTGCCCAAGCAGTAGCAGAGCCGGCAGGGGTGGGGGAGGCAGCGGATCTGGTTGATTCCATGGAGTTCTGGGGAGTCACAATGGCTTCTTGGTTCCATGAGGCTCCACAATGTCACCATGGCCCCTTGGCTCCCTGAGATTCCACAGTGTCCCCACATTCCTTTGGTTCCATGGGGTCCTGCAGTGTCCCAGTGCCACTTGATTGCACGAGCTTACACAGAATCCCACTGGGCCCTTGATTTCAGGAGGTTCCACTGTGCCCCAGGGTCCCTTGGATTCCAGGAGGCCCGGCAGTGTCACAGTGGCCCCTTGACTCAAGGAGATTGCCCTGAGTCACAATGGCCCATTAAATTCAGGAGGTTCTGCAGTTTCCCAGGGTTTCTTTGTTTCCATGAGACCCTGCAGTGTCACGATGGCCCCTTGGTTCCATGAGGTTCCAAAATGATTCAGCATTCCTGAGGCCCTGTATTGTCACAATGGCCCTTCTTATCCCATGAGCTTCCAAAATGTCTCAGGGTTCCTTCTGTTCCATGAGGCCCCGGATGCCACAGTGGCCCCGTGGTTCCAGGAGATTCCACAGTGTCCCTGTGTTCCTTTGGATCCAGAAGTCCTTGTAGTGACACAATTGCCCCTTGGTTCCAGGAGGTTCCAGAGCATCAGGATGGCCTCTTGTTTCCATGTGGTTCTCCAGTGTCACAATGGTCCCTGAATTTCCTGAGGCTCCACTGAGTCCCAGGTTCCTTTGGTCCCCATGTCCCAAGAGGTTCCTTTGATTCCAGGAGGCTGCAGAGTGTCTGCGGATCCCTTCAACTCCAGAATGCCCGGCAGTGTCAGAGTGGTCCCTGGAGTCCCTGAGGTTGCTCAGGGTCAGAATGGTGCCTTGACTGCACCAGGTTCCCCAGGGTCCTCCTCTCAGGGCCCCTGAGAGTGACTCTCAGCTAGGGCAGCTCTCAGGGGTGTGCACAGACGGCTCCCCTGACTCTTGGTGCCCGAGGCTGCTGCTGCCTGGCGGGGCTGGGACAAAGGTGACCTGGCAGCCCCTTGCCAGCCCTGGGCCCCCTTGGCATCCTGAGGCACAGCTGAGTCCTGCCAGCATTGCCAGCCCTTGTGTCCTTGTGTGCCACGGGCTGAGCAGATCCAGGTCACCTCCCATTCCTCTGCCAACCCCCTGGGCCTGCTCTGGGCCCTCCAGGTCCTTGCCCTGCTCCCAAGGGCTGTGGGGGTGCTTCATGGTCAGGGCTTGGGCTTTAGAGCTCATGGTCGGGATTAGGCAGAAGTTTAGGGAGGTTTGGTGTTCTGCTGGCCCAACCCTGCACACTCCCACTCTCAACTGGGCACTGGCATTTGCTTTGCCAGGGCATTTCTTGAGCACATTCCTGAGGGTGACTTGGGTGTGTGCAGCAGAGCATTGAGAAAGCCAGTGGCCCAGGCAGCTGCTGCCATGTGGGCACAAGCTCTGCTGCCCAGGAGGGTCCCGTAGTGCAGGGGTTTGCAGATGGCAACATAGCGGTCGTAGCACATGATGGTGAGGAGGGAAAACTCTGTTCCAAGGAAGAAGAACAGCAGAAAGACCTGGGTAAGCACATCCCTGGTAGGAGATGTGCCTGGTGTGCCAGAGGGAATTGTGCATGGCTTTGGGGACAGTGGTGCAGATGCAGCCCAGGTCTGTGAGGGAGAGGTTGAGCAGGAAGAAGCCCATGGGGGTGTGCAGGTGGTGGTCACAGGCTACAGCGCTGAGGATGAGGCCGTTGGCCAGGAGGGCAGCCAGGGAGATGGCCAGGAAGAGCCAGAAGTGCAGGAGCTGCAGCTCCCACCTGTCTGCAAATGCTGGGAGGAGGAACTAGGGCATGGAGCTGCTGTTGGACATGTGCTGTTTCATGGCAGAGGGTCCTGTTAAAAATAGAATCTGAGAATCAGAAAAGGAAGAAGAGACCTTTCTGAGCAAAGCTGCCCCATTTTTCCTAGAAATAAACTGAAATGCATTTCCTTTCTCTAGGTTGTGTTGGCTGAGGGTGGTGTGAGGAGCAGGAGCTCTGGCCATGTGCTGTGTAGAACTCAGCTTTGCTCTGCTGTAGTGGGGGCATGGAGCTGGTTTGTGACAGACACAGGGGATGTCAGATGTAACCCACCTTTTATGGAAAAATTCATTTTAATTACTCACAACTTTAAGGAGTGAGGTCTACAGAACAGAGGCTTAGCATGTCCTCAAAATAGTATTTGGGGTTTTTTTATTTTCCACCATCATCACTTCAGGGGCTCAAATCTTCATTGTTATGTTGTTATTGTTGTAGATGTTCATCTGAGGCTTTGAAAGCCTCAGTTTTATGACTGAGAGTGTGAAGAGACAGGCAAAAGGGCTCAGCTCTCTGAGGCTTGGTGCAGAGCCAGGAAAGCAGCAGTGTCCCTCAGGCAGTTCCCCATCTGCCCTGTGTTTCACCTTGTGCTGCCTTGAAGGTGAATTCACACACAGATTAATGTTTAATAACACCACTTCTCTTGATGAGAGAAGAGCTGTGTGAAATCTCCTTTGTGCCAGCCCAGAGGCACAGCTCTGATGGACAATTCAGGACACAAGTCCTCCAGGAGAGAAGAAAAGGGCTGGGATGGGAGTGTGCCAACCCCCAAGGGAAGGCTCAGCACTGCCCAGGACCCTGTCTGATTTCTGAGAGTCCCTGAATTATTCATCTCTGAGAGTAAAAGACTTTGCATTTAAGTGCTTCTTCCTAAACTGAGA